CTTGTATATGATATTTGTGGTCTGGTCGACAACTTAAGTGAAGAATTTAAAATAAAATTATGTATATCATTGTAAAAGTGTTTATATATATATCTATAACAATTAACATTTTTCATTAAAATTCACTTTTCTGTCTTTATTCCCATACATGTCTGCTGTTTTCAAGAGAAATTCAGACATGAATCTTACACTCTCTGTTTTGTGCAAATAGATATCTCTATTTTGTCTAGAGACTGAGAGGGATGTCACATCTCCCTTTTTCTTGGCTAGCTTGAACCCTGAATTGAAATTTTGAGAGGCCAGTGAGAAAATAAAAAAAGAAAGCATGATACTGTCTGTTGCATTTGTGATGACTAAAAGAAGGATGCATACCACCTTGATAACAGTTTATAACACATAATTAAAAGGTTCAGGGACTGATGCATCTAAAATCTATTCAATTTCATATATCAATATTATATAGTACTTTGTGGCTGTATCAGTACAAGATTTTCAATCAACGACAGCCCTAATTCCAAGGTCCTTAATTAAATAGGCTGTAAGTTTTTGCTTTAGTATTAATTTTATAATTAAGTGTTTGATTGAATTATACAGTTAACATGTTACAGCCTATGTAAAACAAATTACTTGTTTTTTCCCCAAAGATGAGATTGAACAAAAGTGTTGTCATATCTGGAGGATAATGTACACTAGTGTCAAGTCTACTCCTGGTTTTTTTTTTGCTCTCGGTTATCGAATGACAGTTGAATAAAGTACCTTCATTGTTTTAAAATTGATCAGTGAAATACTAGAATGATATTTAAACTGAGAAGATGTATGTTTAATTGATTAATCCTGTTAATCAAGGTGTTGAGGAACTCCCTCGTAAAATATGTAACATAGCGCAGCGGCTAATTTACACAGTTTTTTGCAAATTATTTTTGTTTTACATACAAAATATCTCACACTATGTTTTAGTCTACATTGTATTGTTTGTAAATAAATACAAATGTAGCTCTTAAATATGATTAGGAAATTAATGTTAAAATACAAAAACTTTCAAAATGGTTTATATATTTATATAACTCATGAATATTAATAAAAAACAAACTATTTTTATATTGATAATGATTTACTACTTGAGATGTATTGTGCAGTAATTTTTTGTAAAATTAGCTTTTAACGGATTTTTTTTTAAAAACCCTAAACAATCACCTTATGCCCTGTTACCTTAAAAATGTGCCTTGATAAACAAGAACGATTTTTTTCCTTATATGAGGAAAAAAATCGTTCTTGTTTATCAATGCACATTTATAAGGTACAGGGCATTATCCTGAAAAGATTATATTGGTGTTATGGCCCTTCTTTAACTTATTGTTTTGAAAAGTTTGAAAACTGAGTCAAATATATTCAATTTCCTTATTCATTCTTGGCATACATTTGCACTTGCTAATGGGGAAAGGTTATTTCTGTTGGAAAATAGGACACAGTCAGTAGTTGCGGAGTTATGCCCAATTTTCTCATGGAAAATTTTAAAATTTGTATTCTTCTTACTGAGGAATCTTATTGTTGCCCTTTTTTATTATTCAAAAATTTGCTTTTTTATCTGGATCCGGTGGAATGCAGCTTTAAAGTAAATAAACATATGGTAATACTCTTGAGTGTCCCTAAAATGGATATAATTGCTGGACCATTAGGGCTATCTAAGATAGACAACTCCTGCAGTTTGAGTAATTGACTTTTATGAATGAATGATTCATGAGAAATTTCGTATGTCAAGTGATAATGTGTTTTTCCTAGTATTTTGTCTGTGACTGAAAATACGACTAGACTCATTAATGGTTTATATTGTTTGAAATATTGAAACTTTAGATAGGGTTATAATAATTTAATAATGTTTGGATTCCTTGATTTATATGAAGTACTATACTGTTGGCCAGTAAGTAATGGAGAATTTTTGTTGTTGTTGTTGTAAATAACCTTGAGCAGGCTTGAACTTTGCATTCAGCACAAGCTTGACTGGGTTCTGACCAACTACCAGACAAAAATTGAACCATTTTTCAGTGTGACTGTCAAACAAAACTATCATAGCAATTTGAAAACTTTTCAGGATAAAGTTGCTTGATGATCTTCATTTGTTACACCATTTGTGTTTTAGACAGATCTGAATAAAAGGCCAGAAAACGGGCCAAAATCAGGAATTTATTTTATATGATGAGACCATCTACTATTAAACATGAAAAAGGAAAAACATTCGGTACATGGTCTTGTCTGGCATTGGGCCAGAATTCAGTATACTGTTAGATGAAAAATTTAGAAACTGTAACGCTACCCTAAAGAATTAAGCAGGGCAAGACTTATACAAGATTTCTTTGCCGGCTGATTTTGGTCTGCACTGGTTACATGGGTAGAATCTGTTGCTATCAGCAAGCTAAGAGTTAAAGATTTATTAAAGAAATCATGAAGGATTTGTAGCCAGTCACTTCATGGGGAGGTAATTTAGGTAATATTTGCTTAGTTATAGGGCTAATCCAAGAAAACCAGGTAGATGGATCAACCGCCAAGATTTGACCAAAATTTCGTGTTAAAATTGAAAAAGCCAGAGAAACAAATTCAGTTCTACAAATAAATTTTATCATTGACAAGGGAAGTATTTTCATTTAATTTGAACTATCATACTTCTGATCTTAGAGGAAAGATGTGAAGGCAATGTATATAATGAATTATTGATCAGTATTGTTGAAGTAAATGAGGAAAATAAATACTTCACTATAAGTTAGTGTAGCCAATCAGAAATCACCTTAGAAAATGTGTTAATTATTCTTATCTATTTTTTGATTATTGAAAGGTACATGTAAGCAGTTATATGACATAGCTCTAACTTGTTCTAGTTTTCTTGACATACATAACTTTCAGTATGGGTTGTAAAAATGGAAATAGAATATAATGTACATTGTATTAAAATAATAAGATTAAATATTTTAAAGTATCATGCAAACATTATACCATAGCTTCTACAGAATTTATTTGAAAATGCTTAAGCCTTGGTTTAATTAACCCTTAAACCATTCAGCTAGCTTTCAAAAAGTTTGCGGTACTACTCGGGAGCCTGCAGATGCCTAAAATAATGGAAAGTCGCCATTTTACCTTTACAGTGTATGTGTCACTTAAAATCCAACAAGACTGTCAGATTATTTAAAATTATCTTGTGTCTTTTAGTGAAGAAGGTACTAGCAAAAAGTTGATTTTAACACATTATTTTCATCATACAAAATTGCTTTTGATGGTGAGATTTGTTTTCAATGAATGTTCTTCGGTTAACAAAGGCTTAGATAACTTTTAGTTAGAAAAAGGTTTTATGGTGTTTTAACGTTGCACAATATTTTCTGCATGAAAAGATATGATTTTCTATATTACATTGTTTTATTTTGTGCCTCTGTCCCACGCAAAGACTATGATTTCATAATGACTGTACTACAGAGAAATAGTTTAAGCATTTTCCAGTAACAGATCTGATTGCCTTATAGCCTGGTGTATGCAGCAGTAAGTGCAGATCAATATAAGTGGAACTGACGTTATCGTAATAGTCAGACTGCCCCAATATTTGACATCAGAATTCACAAGAAGATAGCATGCCTTTTGTAGAGAAATCTATAAAAAAAAAAATTGTAATCTTTATCCATGCTGAATTTGTGTAATTGGCTTGGCCTGCTTTGAATGGGAAACTATCGGTTGTTCATATTAAAGGGTTTTGATCAGGTATTTTAAGGCTTACACTCATTCAGAATGACCAGGATGTTTTAATTAAACAAGTTCCAAAGAGGTCGGAGAGCCTAAAACCTTGATAAAATTTGAAATTCTAACATAGATCATGTTGGAAAAATCTGGAGAGGCAAGAGAATATTTAAAAAATATGAGTAGAATTAAATTGAAAAGTCTGTAGTCAGTGCAATTGTTAGCCTGATTTGAGTATGCTTTTGTCATTTTGCACAATAAAAATGATAATTTTGGAAAAACAGGGTGAGCGATTGATCAGAAAATTTTCGCACAAGTTATTAGTTCAGACCTCAATGAAATGGTACACAAATCTAAAAAATAAAATATTTCCAGTCCTGTCATGTCAATAAATGTCAGAGGATTCTCTTCAACTGCCTGCAGGTGGCACAGAAAAGTCTTAATTGATCCATTACCTGCTGGAACCGAAAGTGACCAGCCTTTGCCACCAGTATAAAGCCAGTCTGCAGGCCAGTGTGCACTTTCAGTTAAGTCTCGCCTTGCTCTATACCATTGATAGCTCAATTATAGAATTTTGATATTGAAATCCCTTAAACTTTGAATGGACTGTTCCAAATTCAAAGAAAGGCAATTCCATTTTAAAAAAAATCCACAGGTTTAGGATTGATACTGTAGGTACTGTTAATATTTAAGGAGTTAAATCAACAATGGCCCAGAACTTCGTATTCCTGCATCATTTAAGGTTAATGTCTATAATTTGATGTACATTCAGGTTGACAAAAAAAGAAACAGAAATTGTGTAAATTACTCTGGTCATGTAAATGGTTAAATGTTAGCAAAATTCCTAAGTATATTCTTTTTGTGTGTTACATGTTATATTGGAGATATTGTTTGTTGTGAAAGAAATATGAATAGTTATTCCTAGGAATAAAAGAACTCTTTGAGGCTGAATGTTAGATTAAATATGTTTGATAACATTTGTTGAAATTGAATTTTATTGTCCTATTATGTATGTTAGGAAAGGAACGAGCCCAGGATGTAAATAGGCCTGAAAATATGAAAATAGAAATTCTCCTTATTTTCTTATAAATATTAACTCAGAATGTCTTTTTCGCTTTGTTGAAGTGACAATAGTCATCTGAAAGCGTTCATTGGTGTTATATGTACTCTTATATAGTACTTATGTTAGTTTCAGAAGGGCTTCTACACTCTGGGGAGATTCGTTTCTTATGGCTGAATTGAATTAAAGGTACATGAATGATAAATGTTTTATTTCATAATTTCAGGAGCTGGCATCCATTACAAAAGAGTTGAACTGTATACGAGAGCAACTAATAGAGAGGGAAGAAGAGGTGCACGAACTCAAAGCTGAAAGGAATAATACTAGAGTAAGTAATATATATAATGCCAAGATCCACTGAATTGATTTATCATTCTGAACTGATGGCCAGAATTCTATAAGAATTTAGATATCATAGAATAGATAGTTAGAAAAAGTCTGATATAATTATTGGCACCTTCTTTCAGCTTAAAATTCATATTTTTGGTTACAACTCTATAGAAATGGTATAACTGTAAATTATCAACACTTTGTGTTTTTAAATTAACCCTTCAAGGGCATGATAGTTGACATGTCTTGTGGTATGTACACGATAGGGAAATTTTGGGGGGTTTGAAGGGGGGGCGGTAGTCCCCCTCATCGCCAAGAAAATTTTGGACTAGTAAGAGGTTAAAAATGACCGCAGGTTGATCATAAGGTAACTTGTAACAAACGCTGAAAAGCCTTTGACTCTATCTCAATCCATTGAGAAGTGGCAGCTCTTTGAAATCAATTTTGATGGAAAAAATCAACGCAAAATAGTGATTTTTGGCAATTTTGAGATGTCCCCTAGTTGCCATGGTAACAGGAAATATATGATAAAGGTTCCAAATTTTATATATCATAGCCTGGTATTAGGTGAAGTAGTTGGAACATTTAGAAAGTTTTGTTATGTTTTCAGTTGCTGTTGGAACATTTAGAATGTTTTGTTATGTTTTCAGTTGCTGTTGGAACATTTAGAATGTTTTGTTATGTTTTCAGTTGCTGTTGGAACATTTAGAATGTTTAGTATCTCGTCATGAAAGATCGCTAAGAATGACAGTTGTGAAGCGGCAAGCCTCATCACCAGCTGGTGTCTCTAGTGAAGTCGAAGTTCTCAAGGCTCTCAAATCACTGTTTGAACATCATAAGGCATTAGATGAAAAGGTATTGCTATTTTGATATATTTGTCTTAATATTTCCATATCTTCTTCACTGGTCAAGGAAATATAGGTTTTATATACTGTTACTTAATATAGAAAAATGATAGGGGGCTTGTTCTAAGACTTTTTGGAACAAATAAATATATCATTGTTAAATAATATAATACAGAAATATGATATGATTGGAGTGTAAGCAAGCTTGAAGCGCCTTCACAATTTTGAATTAGTGTTTGAAATTATTTTTTGTCCAATAGGATTGCAGTTTTTCAAATGAATCGTAACACATTTACTTTGGTTAATCAACAAACTGTGAATCAATCTAGTTAATCCACTATTTGTAAAAATAATTTAAAACACTAAGTTGGTTAGAATTTATAAGATTAAATTAAAACCTAAATTAAGTTCTATTTTTTTCTTTCTTTCAAAATAAAAGTTGATCTGAAAAAAGGCACAAATTTTATAAAGAAGTTCATTGTTCTGACTGTTGTGTATTAATCTATACAGGTTAGAGAGAGATTAAGGGTTGCTCTTGAGAGAGTTTCAACCCTAGAGGAGGAGCTTGCCACTGCCAACCAGGAGGTGAGTAAATTTTAGCTGTGTCATGACAAAACCAACATAATGAGTTTGCGACCAGCATGGATCCAGACCAGCCTGCTCATCCGCGCAGCCTGATCAGGATCCATGCTGTTGGCTATCAGTTTCTCTACTTGTTATATGGTTTGTCAGCGAACAGCATGGATCTTGATAAGACTGTGCGGATGCGCAGGCTGGTCTGTATTCATGCTGGTCGCAAACGCACTATGTTGGTTTTGTCATGACCCAGCTCATTTTAGCTTTAATCTTTCTTTTGAAATATCTGCATTTCAGGTAACTCTAGTTATAAATTGGGTGATTATAATGAGGAATTTAGTGATTCAAATGATTATTTTAATGATTCAAATGATAAATGTAGTGATTCAAATGATTATTTTGGGGCATTCATGGCCAAGTTGTTAAGGTTGTTGACTTCAAACCTCTCGCTGTGCATTTGAATCCCAACAGGGACTTTGGATTCTTCCATGTTGAGTAGTGGCTCAAGTATGATTTACTGGTATTTTTATCTCACCTGTCACAAAGTGACAGGGTGAGCTTTTGTGATCGCTTTTCGTCCGGCGTCCGTCCGTCCGTCGTCCGTCAGTAAACTTTTGCTTTAAATGACATCTCCTCATAAACCAATGAGCCAATTTCATCCAAACTTCACAGGAATGTTCCTTTGGTGGTCACCTTTAAAAATTGTTCAAAGAATTTAATTCCATGCAAAACTCTGGTTGCCATGGCAACCGAAAGAAAAATCTTTAAATATCTACTTTTAAACAACCCTAAGAGCTAGAGCTTAGATATTTGGCATGAAACATCTTCTAGTGAGTGTCTACCAAGTTTGTTCAAATAAAAGCCCTGGGGTCAAAATTGGCCCGCCCCAGGGGGTCATTGATTTTCCCTATATGCATATAGTAAAAACTTAAAAAATCTTCTTTTAAAGAACCCAAAGAGCTAGAGCTAAGATATTTGGCATGAAACATCTTCTAGTGAGTGTCTGCCAAGTTTGTTCAAATAAAAGCCCTGGGGTCAAAATTGGCCCCGCCCTGGGGGGTCATTGATTTTCCCTATATGCATATAGTAAAAACTTAAAAAATCTTCTTTTAAAGAACCGTAAGAGCTAGAGCTTAGATATTAAGCATGAAACATCTTCTAGTGAATGTCTACCAAGTTTGTTCAAATAAAAGCCCTGGGGTCAAAATTGACCCCGCCCCAGGGGGTCATTGATTTTCCCTATATGCATATAGTAAAAACTTAAAAAGTCTTCTTTTAAAGAACCCAAAGAGCTAGATCTAAGATATTAAGCATGAAACATCTTCTAGTGAGTGTCTACCAAGTTTGTTCAAATTAAAGCCCTGTGGTCAAAATTGGCCCCACCCAGGGGGGTCATTGATTTTCCCTATATGCATATAGTAAAAACTTAAAAAGTCTTCTTTTAAAGAACCCAAAGAGCTAGAGCTAAGATATTGAGCATGAAACATCTTCTAATGAGTGTCTACCAAGTTTGTTCAAATAAAAGCCCTGGGGTCAAAATTGGCCCGGCCCCAGGGGGTCATTGATTTTCCCTATATGCATATAGTAAAAACTTAAAAATCTTCTTTTAAAGAACTCAAAGAGCTAGAGTTTAGATATTAAGCATGAAACATCTTTAAGTAAATATCTACAAAGTTTGTTCAAATAAAAGCCCGGTGGTCAAAACTGGCCCTGCCCCAGGGATGTCATTGTTTTTAACTATATGTGTATAGTAAAAACTTTAAAAATCTTCTTTTAAAAAACCCAATGAGCTAGAACTTAGATTTTTAGCATGAAACATCTTCTTATGGGTGTCTACCAAGTCTGTTCAAATAAACAAATAAAACTTAAAGCCCTTGGGTAAAAATTGGCCCGGGGGGGGGGGGGGGGGCCTATATACAGGTGAGCGACCTCAGGGCCATCATGGCCCTCTTGTTAGTAGTTTTTGAAAGTCCTGATTCAGAAAAATAGGAAACTTTAAATCTTCTTGTCTGTATCAATGATGGTGTAATCGTAATCAGTTATGGTAATTGATTGTAATCAAACACATTTTCCCCCAAGTAATTGACAGTAATCAGTAATCAAAATTACTTTCAAAATCATTTGAAGTATGTAATCGAAAGTAATTGTGTATGTAATATTGATTAGTTTTGCGAAAGCAATCATAAGTATTAAATTACACATTTCTATCAAGTGTAATGGATTATTAATCAATAACATGAAATTTATCTGTGTAATTGATTAATAATTGATTACATGTGACTATAATTGATCACCAGTTGATCCTGTTTTATGTATTATTGAAATGTTGAAAAAATATAGTCTTGAATATACATGTAGATTAAAAAACTTAATAAAAAGTTATCAAGTTTCAATTTAGGTGAGCATGTATAATTGTAGGATGGGGAAGTCTCCTTGTATTGAACTTTTTATGTATATGACTCTATGATTATGTTTGAGATATATATTAATAAAGGAAATTGTGAGGTTACTTAAAAGTTTTGTTACCACTACCCAATCAGATTTAATGCTGATAACTTCCTTTTAATACTGTGATATGAAATGAGCCGCGTCACGACAAAACCAACATAGTGGGTTTGCGACCAGCATGGATCCAGACCAGCCTGGATGCGCAGTCTGATCAGGATCCATGCTGTTCGCTATCAGTTTCTCTACTTGTTATAGGGTGTGTAAGCGAACAGCATGGATCCTGATCAGACTGCTCGGATGCGCAGGCTGGTCTGGATCCATGCTGGTTGCAAATGCATTATGTTGGTTTTGTCGTGATGCGGCTCAAATGGTTAAGTTTGTCTGTGTCTGAGCATTTATATATAAAATGTTTATGTCTATATTTAAAGGAGTCCTTTATAACCAGTAAAATAATTGGCTTATGTCAATAACTATAGATTAATGATAAATAAAAAATTGAATTAAATCAGAAAAAAAGAAAATGTTGACATCAAACTGTCCGTGTATTTGATATGATGGGGATATACATGTGTCATAGACATGTATCCATATGATGATATATATTTATTCATTATATACAAATAATTCTAACACGACCCGCATTTTTCCCTATTGAACATAGAAGAACCGAAAGTGTGTGTTATTATGCTATAAAATCACTGTTTGACGTTCTATATTTAGACATGTGACGTAATCATTATACACGTGACGTAACCACTAAAAATGTGACGCGCTGACAATAAGTACGGACACAAATCAGGCGCAATTTAGCTAATTATCATGTATGGGCAGCATTTATTTGTTGATGTCGTGTTAGAATCGAAATAATATATCCAAATCGGTGATTTTATTGCTTGATAACATCACTGTTTGTCGTTCGGATGCGCATCATTATATCACTCGGGCTACGCCCTCGTGATATAATTCCCCGCATCCGAACTCCAAACAGTGATGCTATTGAGCAATAAAATCACAGTTTGAGATATATTATTTCTTAAATAAAATATTGATCAAATAATATGTAAAATATTGATCAAATAATATGTGTATTTTCATTTTCAATATTTTCACTGTACAAATTTATTTTTCACTGCAGTGACCATTTCACCCCTTTCCCAATCCAAATTAACCACCTTAGAAAAAAGAAAAGAAAAAAGGTTCCCCAAAAATATATAATTGTTTTAACTTCTGAGCAAAATTAAATTGTTTGACTTGTTTGAAATAAATATTATATGATCATTTGCATTAAAAGTCATGTATCAAGTACTTTTTGAACTTTTGTTATGATTAATTCTTCAGAGGGATGAATCTTTCTCCAGATTTCTATATCTATTTATAGTTTATTACATATATTTACAGTTGTTTACATTACGGGAACAGCAAACAAAATCCCGCCATTCCAGCGGTTCTACAGAGGATGGTAGACATTCAGTGAAGAATGACCCGACATCACCCCCACCTAGCTCAGATCATACTGTAGAAAAAGATCATCATCCAAAGGTAATGGAACACAAGAACAAACTTGAATAGACTTTGTCACTAGTATAGAGCCAGTCCAGCCTGTACCTTCCATGCAGTCCGACCAGGCTCTATACTGTTGGCTTACTGTTTCGTCACTTCATATTCCGAAAGATACTGAAAGTGACCAGTTTCAAAAATTGTCATTTCAGAAATTCATTCTGATGAGGTATTTGAACTAGGTTTCAGCTAAAGACTTTGAATTAATGTCAAATAGTTATGACATACTGTTTTATTGTCTATATATTTTATATACATACAAATGTATAATATGCTGTAAATAGGGCTCTGCAGCTAAAAGAAAAAAATACTAGGAAGTGGCATTCTTGTCATTCAATTAGCTTTATTATGTATTAATTATTTGGATGAAAATATTGAAAAATTAAAGAAAATGAAGTTTATTTTGTTTATTTGAAGTCTAAGAAAGAATTGACAAGATCTGTTAACTTGTTTATTTTGTTTGTTTGAAGTTTAAAAAAGAATTGGCAAGATCTTTTAACTTGTTTATTTTGTTTAAAACAGAATTGAAAAGATCTTTTAGATAATATCTTACATGAATTATTTGGTAATTAACTTGTAGAATGACTCAATTACAAATCAGTTAGAGCAGGTGTTATCAGTGTATTAATTTTATAATGAACGTTTATTTTCTGTTCACATAAATCACATAATCATGAACGTTTTCACGTTTTCTTAGGTCGTTGCGAATTTTCCATTTTTTTCTTGTTTTGTTTTCAGAGATTATCAAATGGATCTATAGACCCGGATTCTGATGTGAATAGAGTTATAGAATTACAAGAAACTGTTGAAAAACAGAACTCTGAACTTACAAATACGCGAACAAAAATGTTAGAATTGAACAATAAGTTTACTGAAGTTGAGGAGAATTATACAACTGCACAAAAGGATTTAATCAAAGCTCAGGAACAAGTTGTGAAACTACAGAGAGATCTCAGAGAGGTAAATGTACTTTAGGTCACCATATACGTTTTAAAGGCCCTTTTTGCTATAGAAATGTACTCTTGGTCAATTTTAAAGGCCTATTTTTATGCCCTAGAAATGTACTTTAGGTCATATACATTTTAAAGGGCTAAAAAAGGGCAGATTATGCCAAAGATACTTGTTTGATCTCATATGCAACCATTGCCTGCACATCCACTGTTCGCTTTTATATTCATAAAAAAAATTCTGACTGAAAAACGAACAGTGGCGATCCTGATCAGTCTGCACAGGTGTGCAGACTGATCCCGATCTGCACTGGTCACATATGAAATTTAACACACATCTATGGGGTAAAGGGTTCAAGGCCTATTATATCCGAGAAATGCTTTTACATTCCTTATTTAAAAGGTTTTTATTTTTGATGTATGTTTATAGTTTCCAAAATGTTACTCATTGGCCAATTACCTGAACTATCTTTTTCTTACATTGCTTTATTGGCAATAAGTACAGTAATAGTGATTTAGTGTTTTGTATGGAAATAAGAATACTGCTGTGTTTACATTTCTCTATTTTTTTTTATAATAAAATATTTCACATTTAGTGCTTATTTCCTCAGATAACAAACATCTTACATGCTCTAAAACCATTATTTTAACATTATAAAACTCATGTTTTCCCTTTCCAAAGAAGTAAAAATTTATATATCTTTTTGAAGCATAGTGCCTTTAAGCATGTATTAAAGCTATATCTAACGAAATATTTTTTTAGAACTCATAAATTATAAAACTATGTTTGTAAACAGTCCTATGGTCAATTCTTGAAAATTTTGATCAATGGAATGTCTCTGTTATTTAACATACTTGACTATTGTGCATATTCAGAAAGTATGCTGGAATTTTAAGTAGTACTTTAATTCTTTGACCAGTTATCAATGGCTTCCTGAATTGGCTATTTGCTTATAGGGAAATATGCAAACACGTTTCTTTAATACATTTATTTCGGACATATTCTTTTTCAAGACTCAAGGAATAGATTTGTATTCTACAGGAAGCAGATATATGTATATAGCTTTGAATGCTTTAATTTTGATTTTATTGTAATGAATCCATCAAGTTAAACATAACATATTTTTTCAAACAGAGGATATCCTAACTCCACATTAAAAAGTCCTTTGAATAGGGTCAGATTTGAACATTCCAAAAGAAAAAAAACAAACTCCCCCCCCCCCCAACTTTTAGTAAATTTTTTGACAAAAAGACAAATTTCTATAACTGAATCATAATTAATTAACAGGTAAGCAGAAGTCTATTGGTGTCTGTAATATCCCTGTAGCCCATGAATTGTGGTTTAAGGCTGAATGTGGTAGCAATTTTGTTTTCCTGTGGTGAAGCTATTACTTGTTAGTGCAGGAAAATCCTTGAAAAGTGACATTATTTGAAGTTAAGAGAACTTTTTCTCTCAATTAAACATAAAATTAACGGGAACGTATCTAGCAGACCCCACAAAATGAATAATAATAGCATACTTGCTTGTTGGTGGCTGCTGCCCCCAGTCTCCTTCAGGCTTTTTTTTTTACATGTTTATTTTCAAAACTACAACAAAATTCTGAATAACACTTTGAAACAGAATAAAAGCATAGAAGCAAAAACACAAGCACATTCATTTAGTTCAGGGGCCTGCTAAACTTGATTTTATCCAGTTTATGTTTAAATTTACAGGGAAACTGATTTAAACTAACGATCAGTCAGTAGCCTTAAAAATCAAATTCTGTGTTTGTTTTACAGTCAATAGCACAAAAAGAAGACCAAGAAGAAAGGATAGCTACATTAGAGAAACGCTACTTAACTGCTCAGAGAGAGACTACATCCTTACATGATTTAAACGATAAATTAGAGTCAGAGCTAGCTACCAAAGATGGTCAATTAAAAACAGTAAGTTTTTTTAATGCTACAGAATTTTGTGTTTGGATGATGGTGTTTGTAGTTTTCACTCCGGGTCACGGCAGTAAGCCACATTGAATTTACCAGTACAAAGTCCAGCCACCACATCGTTCTTGGGCAGGCTGTCAAACAGTTTGCCAGTACTAGTTGCCTTTACTTTCACAAGGAACTGTTTAATTCTGTACATGCAAAAGCAGAGGTACAGTGTGAATGACCGTAGAAAGGATTTCATGATCAATCACAACTAAAGTGACCTGTGCTTTCCAGGAATCGATCCCTGGTTGCCTGATTCACAGTCCAACACTCTACCTATTGAGCTAACCGGATGGTTTAGAATTTTGTGTCCATGCTAGTTTGTTCTTTATATATTTTGGCCTAATATAAAGCTGAATATAACAATGAAACTAGACAAGTAGAAACTTCTAAACCTTAATAAAAAAATGTTTAAAGCTACATGCCATCAGATGAGTAAGTAAAAACTTGTTTAAACAATTATGTTTGAAGACATGTGAAGCATTTTGAAATTATGTATTTATTCACAATTCATAAACTATTATTTTCTCGTTTTGAAAAAATGCAGTTAATCATTTATAAATCAGTTAAAATTAACATTCTCTTATTTATATACGTAGCTTGAAGAAAAAATCAGAGTGCTGCAAGAAAAATTAGAAGGGGCGGAGTCTAAATTACAGCAGTCATTACATAAAGCTGAAGCTCTGCCTACTGTGGAGGCGGAGCTACAGCAGAGAATGGAGGCGTTGTCAGAGGCAGAGAGACGCCATGGCTCAATAGAGGAGAGAATGCAGCAATTAGAATCCAAAGTTCAAGAGAAAGATTCAGAATTACAGAGGGTAATTATCTCCCATTACTTATATATAGTTCTTATAAAATCAATCTCTTAACACCAAGATATGATTCTGATGGTGTGTGAAATCATGCTCAATATAGTGTCTTCTTCCACCAGTAAATTTTGAAAAGTTTCTATATGTCCTAGTGACAAAGTGATTGAAAAGTGGACAGTGGACTTGATGATCTTGGTAAAAGAATTATTAATTAACCCATTACTTCATATACACGCCTTTTAACGCCTTTTTCACCCCCCCCCCCCCTTTTTGTTGTCTCAAATGATGAAAAAATGCCTTATTTAGGCCCCAAACACTTGTTTTTGTTTGAGAAATGTTGTTAAAAAAAGTGACCTCTTTTTCGGCGCGGCCCCCCAACCAAAAGATACATCAGGGGGTTGCCAGAAGGGGGATGTGCCCCCTTCTGTTTGGGGGGTTTGAAGGGGGGCGGAGTCCCCCTCATCGCCAAGAAAAATTTTGGACTTGGGAGAGGCTGTAAATGACCCCAGATTGATCATAAGGTAACGTGTAACCAACGCTGAAAAGCATTTGACTCTATCTCAATCCATTGAGAAAGTGCAGCACTTTGAAATCAATTTTGATGGAAAAAATCAACGCAAAATAGTGATTTTTGGCAATTTTGAGATGTCCCCTCGTTGCCATGGTAACAGAAAATTTAAGCCTGAGCATGTTGTTGCAAGTGCAATGGTCCAGTCAACATTTGTGCCAAGTTTGATTAGTGTTGAAGCAGTTTTTATAGTATTATAGCAATTTGAACTTGTAACGGGAGACTTTTCAATGAAAACAGCCATTTTTCACAAAATGCTCATGAAGTAATGGGTTAAAAAGCCAGTCTGTTAAAGTAATGGATTCAAAATAATGTCAAGAAGATTGCCATGTTTCTTCTTTTTGAAAATACAAAATATCTTGTTTTCTAGCATAAAAAGTATATAATGAGTTCAAAATATCTTGATTACTAGCATAATTATTGAATACTGAGTTCAAAATATCTTGATTACTAGCATAAAAATTAAAGAATGAGTTCAAAATATCTTGATTACTAGCATGATAATTATATAAAGAGTTCATATATGTTTATTCATAAAAGTATTATATCATAGCTAATTATGTTGCAATATGTTGTTTCTAGTAAGAATTTAGAATTTTATGTGTTTATCAAATATGTTTTCCAAGGCAACATTTCCATGTTACAAATATGTTTTCTGTACTAGGCTCGGCATAGGGATAAAATGAACGAGGAGCATAATGCTAGGCTGTCTGCAACTGTGGATAAATTGTTGACAGAGTCCAATGAGAGGCTACAACTTCACTTGAAGGAGAAAATGCAGGCGCTGGAGGAGAAGAATCAATTAACACAGGAGTTAGAGAGAACTAGGAAAGCTTTAGATGATAATCAACAAGAAAAGGTATGATCTGATGATGTAATAGGTATAGGAA